CGTACATGGTCATGTACTCAATATTACTGATAATTACATGAACTTCTTGCAAGTTGACTTGTTTGATGTTAAACGTAAGTATTGCCAACGTTCAAACAAAATCAAAAAGTCATTTAAGCACATATTTTCATTTCCACAACGTTAGGGATATGGAAATGTTTGTCTAATCCTTAAAGTAATTATAAATCTTCGTTTTCTTACGTCCAGTGAAAGTTGGTAACAACGTCGTTGAGCGCAGCAGCAAGGACTCAGTATATGTTGTTCCCGATGAGACATCCTCTCACATGTATATGGAGAAAATCAAGAAATCAATGAAGAGTGGTGAACCCTTCACGTACGAAAAACGCTCTTCCGGCTTCCCTGAGCGTCTGTTCCTTCCTAAGGGTACTAAGAGCGGTATGCCGATGCAGATGTTCGTCTATGTTAGCCAGTACGAAGGGACTCCCGCGTGGACGTACGAGTCCCCCGTTTGGGGCACCATGTTCGACGATGGAAAACCTATGGGATTCCCGCTGGACAGACCCGTCTATGGATTCAACTTCACCGTGCCTAATATGTACTTTAAGGATGTCACGATTTACCACAAAGAAATTGAGGAACTTAATCTTACCATTTAAACGTCCTAAATGTTCATTAGTTGAAGAAGATACTTTCGGCTCGGACATTAATGTATTGGTAATCACTTTATGTACGTTGACTGTTTTGCACGATTTCCAATTTATAAAATGATAAGCATAGCAATAAACGGATAATGAAAGATAATGATAACTGATTACTATTCCTTAATAAGACCTTGATATTATGATAAGGTCGCATGGTATAGTGTATCCTCCATAGTACTCAGCATCCTTTTTCTTTCTTAATGTCGATTACATATTCAAGGAACTTTTTTATTTTCTAAACTATTATAGTTACATTCGAGGGATTCTCATATTTAAATGCTATAACAAGAACTATCGGACATAATAGTCACATTGATACTGTAACATCACAATTGGGAACTTAAAACAAGGATAGTTACATAAAGTTAACTGTTGGGGCTTTTCAATTGGTCTATTGATTGTGATTCCCCAAATACAACTACGGTTTCTAAGGTAACATTATAATAGAATGCATGAGAGTAAATTCATATCAATTAATTGTTGCTCTGAGTCATTGATGAGATCAGATCATAAACAATGCAGAATCTCATTACTATAATAGGGAATGTATAAACTAAACTATAAATAAATTAATCTCTTTTAATTTTGAAGTATCTTTGCATTTAATTAGAATGTTTAATAATGACAAGTATTTTATTGAACAATACAAAAATTGAAGGTCTCAATACACTGCAGTTTCTTCAAATGACACTCTGCGCAACTGCTTTACTTTTAGACTTCTCCTTTAACGTCAGTCCTCTCGAGTTGCTCGCATGCGCCCCACTTAACGAAATCAAGTAAATTCTGTCTTAGATCCGCATTCTAATTAGTGATAGGACTGAAGTACCATGTAGCTCTGTCATGTATTAAGACCTTTTATCTATGGTTTAAGATCATGTTTCGTCATAAGCATTGATTATGAAAGGCTCTACGTTCGTCCATTCCTGCTATTCCTCGACCCCGAAGTGCATTAAGACTTATTCTGATGTGATTTTGGGACCTTCCCATTTTCCGACTTGAATGACCTCGTATTGGTTATTTCCTTTGACTTATGAAATCTGATAGGGTGCGAGACACTTTTGCCTTATTTTAAAATCAGAACCAAACTGGAGCCTCAACTTGGATTATAACTAGGTCACCTTTGTATGCTCAGGATGTTATCCAAGTGAAGTTTGTTCTCGACATCGGACGTCTTATGTCTTATAAAATTAACAGAGTGGAAGTCTTCTTCAGGAGAATCTTCTTGCAATAGAGCTGCATGGGATCCCTTTTGGCTGGCATCTGCATGGTGCTCAATACTCTCAATACTCTTTTTAGTGCGACAAGGATCCCTAGTAAAAATATTTTTTTGCAGGTCTAAGCACTGTCTAGGTCCCCACAGAGGCAGTCTAAGACTATCTAGGGCTTCAGCGGGCCCTCGATTCCCAAATGGGAATATCTATTAGCAATTTTTCTTGTTTCAAATCGAAACGGAACTTTCGGTTATGTGTCGCAATAGGCTGATTAATTTTGCATAGTCGATTATGAACTTTTTGAAGTTGCCTGGTAATTCTAAAAAGCTTTGTACTTTTTTTTGTGACTTGGATGTCAGAGACCTTTGAACTCTTCTTATCATCTGGGGTCACGGACAAGATCGACCATCTTCGATAACATTCTAAGTTTTTCGAATCGCTGCTGTCAGAATTTCCATTTCTTTTAGTTGATCTTCGTTGTGGGTACGATGAGGTCGTCCATATCGGAAATGATAATTCTACGGTGACTGAAGTCTTGGGAAACTGCGCTAACGAATCTCAAAAAATTGGTCGGACCGTTGCATGGAGCAAATGGTGTTCCAAAAAATTCACATAGGCCTATAGGAGTTACAAAATTTGTAAATTTATGACTCTAAGTGTCAACTGGTCCATAAAAGAACCCATTCTTAATAATGCACTGCATCGATTTTATTCACTGAAGATGCGAGCCAGATTGGCTTTGTCACTGGTATCTTCAAAATTGTTCTCATCATGTTCAATTTTCGAATGTTGGATATATCGGTTGGGACGTTAGCGCAATTTCGAGTTTCTTCTTAGGCAGTCAAATTCAAGCGTTTAAGCCATTTCCATAATTGAGTGCGTGGATGGAGTAATCGGTCGGACACTCGAAAACGCTGAACAAAATTGTACAAATGGGTGTTAAAGTATGATTGCAAAACATGTTAAACCAAAAATACTGCTTTATGCAGCTCGCTAAGACGCATCTTTTTTACTCATGCCATTTTTTTGGGAAGTAATTCTTTTCTTACATAAAATATAAAATCTAACTTTTTTCCCCCGAAAATACGCACTGAAATCAATGTTTTTCGAAAATTAAACCGTGATATATCAAAAAGTTCATTTCACATAGCGAGGAAGTTTTCTATTATTGAAGTATCGGTAACGTGCCCCTAAATATGATGATCCTCACCGTTCGAGTATGTTGTTAGCGAAGTTTGACTTAGATCGATCGAAATTTGCAAAAGTTGTTGCGAGTTGAACAAAAATTATATATTGACGCGCGACACTAATACATTTTACGTTTGCAAAGCGCCGACCGACGACCGTATTGAGTTACCTCGGCGCCGCGCGTCAACACATAACTTTCGTTCAACTCGCAATAACTTTTGCAATTTTCGATCGATCTAAATGAAACTTCGTTAAAAACTTACCCGAAAGGTAAGGATCATCATACTTAGAGGCACTTTACTGAGACTTCAAAACATGATTTTACGATTCTTCGCTCCTATTAACATTAAAATAAACAACACAACGCAAACACATTTTGATCTATATCGTATATCGATCTATAGGCGTCGCTCATGAGTCACGAACCTCCAGTTAAACTTTCAAGTGATTCGGTTGAGAACTTTCAGATATATCGCAGTTTAAGTTTTGAAAAACATTGTTTTTGGTGCGTATTTTCAGGGAAAAAAGTTTTAAAAAAAATGGTATAAGTAAAAAAGATGCGTCTTGACGAGCTGCATAAAGCAGTATTTTTTGTTTATCATATTTTGCAATCATACTTAATCACCAATTTGGACAATACTTTTCAGCGTTTTCGAGCGTTCGACCGATTACTGCATCCACGCGCTCAATTTGTGTATCTTCATTATTTCGATTCTGTTGTATAACACTTTGCACATCTTAAATTTCATTATTTTTATATTTAACGTAGATAAGAGATTTGAAACGTTCGCAACAGCTATACAAAAATAACAAAACTCTATAACAGCCGATTATATATATTGTAACGTGGCGTCAGGACGACACATTACAAAAGCCCCGCCTCGCAGCCTCGTAGAAAACTAGGGCCCCCGGGTTTTTTTGTATGGTCTTGTGCCAGTGCGGGGCCCAGTGTGTGAAATTCCGAGTGTTTGATGGACACCCTCGTGGAGCCGGGATGCGGCACCACGGGGATAGGCGGAAGTGACACTGCCACCACGTTTTGGATTTGGTACGGGACTGAGGGGACAGCCAGTTCTCGGTAAGTACCGCGAGGGCGTCTTATTTAGAGAATATCTTGCGCGAGAAGATAGCCGAGCGGGAGTGGTGCGGACACACGGATGCCTCAGGTGGCTACCGACGTCAGAGGGCACACTCCCGAGGCAGGAAAGGCTCGTCTCCAACGAGACCTGTTAGGATCGCGAGAGGATTCGCGGATTCGGTAGGGACACCGAAATAGGGACAGGTCTGGGGCAGGCTAGAAATCACGACTCGGAATAGTCGTGAGCCGCCGTTGGAGGACACACTGTACGCGACGGGAGTTGTATTGTGAAATCCGCCGTTTATTTGATGGTAATAAACCGAACGGTATCCTACTCGCTGTCTTATCATTTTGCGCGCCTATCCGTTGATTCCAAAATTCTCTCTCGTCGCCCCCATGTTCCCCTCTACCATTTTCAGTGCGCTGAGGCTGAGCCGCCGGGAAACCTCAAAAAGGGCCGTGGTGAGGGATGGTGGTGCGGGAAAGCCGCACCTGGCGCCCAACAATTAGATCTTCGGATCTTTTCTTCGATTACAGCACGTTGGGAGTAGCCACGGATTATTTGTAGGCGACGCCGATGAACGGCATACGTCACAATATATGTATATAGTCACCAAGTCGAGAACTATTTTGAAGTTATCAACTAAAAAGATTAACTAAAAACTAATAAGGGATAGAATACTTTTATTAGCAGTTACGTATAATGTAGAATATTTTTCCTAATATTTAAACTGGATAACGTCATTTATTCTTTCGCACTTTATTTTATTATTCATGTCACGAGTTCACCTATCGCTCAAAGTATTGTAACCGTATGAATCGGTATTTAGCTTTGGAACATTGGTGTATTGCGTATTGGTCATATATGGCCGATATATTGATGAGTATGAAGTGATCAGAATTTGTGAAATTATAAAAGTACGATAGGGCTTTTAATTGGAAAGTTGCATAATACCTAATTAAATATGGGATACATATATTTGGTGTTATGATTTAATGACGAATTAAAATTTGAAATCTCTGTAGAAATGACGATAACGTTATAAAAACAGTGTTATAGTAGAATAGCCACAATGATGATGTTCATGATTACTTCGAGTTATGTCAAATCCATTTAGAATGAGATTCTAACTACAGAAAGTTATTAATACGGTAATCGATTATAGAAATTATCATGTGATAAGGTTGATTGAAAATGCATAACATTTTGAAATTCGTACCAAGCGTGTTAAAGTTCAAGCTTAAAAAATCATCAGCATAGTTATCGAGTTAAGAAAGCGTTACGAAACGAAAAAACAACAGAAAAAGAGACGTCTTTTAGTCGTTAAAAGACAGCAGATAAGAGAGACCTTGCTCATATCTCTCTCTTAAGTCGCAATTATAAAAAAAGCCTTAAAAGACGCTATAAGAGACGTCTATTAGAGACTTAGCTACTCATACCCTATTTTAAGTCTCTCTTGAGGCACTTTTAAGTTAATAGAGAGCGCTAATTCTATAATAGCGACCAAGGGCACCATTATACTGCTATTACCGGTTGTCAAAATCAGTCAAAATGAAATCCGTCAAGGATGTCAATCACGTCCCAGCGCCAACCGTCGTGTGTAAAGAGTCTCGGCGGGCCGAGCCCTGTTGGCGTGAGACTCGACCGAGTCTCTTGATAGTGCCGGAAACAGAGAGTAATTTATTAATTGGGAACGCAGCAGAACGAATCAGAGCTATAAAATCGAAATCCCTTCAATAATTAATCAATTGGGAATTCTCACCAGAGTTGGGTCAGCTAATCCGTGAAATCCGAGAACTGTAACCGTAGGACATCCAGGCCGGCACTACACTTTTGAAACAGGGGCAGTAAATCGGTCCGATTTTCTGGATATAAGAGCAATGCGAGAACTACACAAGCGAGAATCTTGTAGAATGTACACGAAAAATAGCTAGAAAAACTATCAACAGATAGCACGAGATCGCGAGCCAGCTTGAGGCATCCCAATCAGTGTCCCAAGATAGGCTGCTTTAAAGCAGTCAGTTGACTTTAGCCAAACTCTGGTTGGTCGAGATCCTTATAGCCGATAACTCTTGTCATTCCCCTCGAGTCGCTGCTTTAAACCAAATTGAGAGCGTTCCTTTTCGAATCGGTACGTAACAACTGGAGATCATCCACGGACGCTTCCCCAGGGCATCGGGCAACAGCTTGGCACCACATCTACAACTCGGGTCAGGGGGTTACCCCCTCCTCTTAATCGTAACAATCCGTATTTCTATAGCCCTTTTCCTTTCTCCAGCGACGCGCCGGTATACCACCTGGACTTCTGCTGCTCCGTGGAGACGTCTCCGACTGGTACTCTCCTGTGCCGGGCAATTCGACACGTCGAGACTGTCCCTCCACAGCAGATTTGAGCACCTTGACCTCGACCAAACAATAGGAAATCTTTCCGAGAGAGTTGCCGTAACTGTACGAATCAAACCGAGAGCGCAGTTTCTGAGCAGGGTGGCGACTCGAAGGGAACCAAACAGGGAGGAAGATATCTGAATCAGTAGCTGGAGTCGCCTTGTGACCGTGAATCGAAAAATCAGGACACAGTATGTACCAATGTTCAATTACAAAATGAGTAATAATTATAAAAGAGCATTCGTGATTTTCATACCAAATTATGTACAACATACGACTTAAAATAAGAAGGCACTCCTCGTATACCTCTCTTGTAGATAATTGTTAAAGTCATTACCAGTATTATTTAATTGTATGCCGCCTAAGTTACATAAACTCTGATAATAAAAGTTTATAATAGCAAATGAAGCATTGCAAACTCATTTTTTCCCATATTATCTTGCTATTTATTTAAATTAGTGTCTAACTGTTTTTTAAATTAATGTATAATTACAATTGAATATAATTTTGATTTTACATAATTAAAACAAAGACTGAAATGACAATGAATATTTTACACAGTTTTTCCTTAAAAATTACCGTGAAACTCACGGTACCCACGGGACATCAAAACATCCTGAAAAGTAAGCATGATACGTCAGCGTTTACTGAAGTGTATGGTAAACTTTTTCAAAGATGAAAATATATAGTATAAAGGTATAACTTTTATACTATATCTACACTACTCTTCATTGTACCATTGTGAAACACAGTAAAAAGTGCAAGTAATAAAATTTACCGTGTGCACTCTAAAACTTATTTAAAGCCACTCAAAATATCGTATGCTATAAGGAATAAGTAATGAAAAGATATCAATGTCCCACGGTTACTGGTTTCTACTGTAACATTTATCGTGAACTTTGTAGGAAAAATTAGGGAAAAATCCTCTCCGCGTGGCGTCACCTCTTAGGGATAATGACCTAACGATGCTTAGCAGGGTCTTCTCATCCAAAGTGGCCACGTTGCCTCGTCCAGCATGTAGTTTGCGTATCATCATTCTATAAGGGGTGCCCCAAGGGTCTTGATTTGTCGATTCACAAAGGACTCTCCAGCATCTTCTCTTGATCTGTTTGATAGCATCTCGGAGAGTTTTCTTTGTGACTTTGTGTGCATCTTCGTCAAGTGTTGCCGTCGGCCGATTTGCCGTTTAGGACCGCTGGGCTTGCCTCCTTAAAGAGGTAATGTTTCCCCTTAAGTTGTGACGTGCTGTTCCACCTCTCCTGCGTGGCATGGATGCATCACAGGCCTTGCATATAGCCCCCATGACCCAGTTCACTGCGCTTTCAACTGAACAGTCGTCCTCGACCTCCAGGAATCCATTTATGCACTCACAAAAGTGCCCCCATCCACTTCGATGAAGATGTAACGATGGTCGCTTAGGGATTCTTCCTCCA